AGCAGGTGATAAACTTACTTCTTTGAAGGCACGCTGAGTGAGAAGGTGACGCTTGATACGTGACAGGGCTTCATGAGGATTATCGTATGCCTGTTCGATGAGACCGAGCTCCTCACGCTGCTGTTGGTTCAACCTCACAGCCACACTGTAAGATTCTTTCAGTCTCTCAAGTGCCAGAATGAGCAACTTCGTGTCATGCTTGTAAGATAATGGAGGGAATGGGATGGGGGAGAATTTCCTTGATTCCAGCCAATGAACGGTAGTTGTATAAATTGCAACTGCTTCCTCCGGAGTGACATATGGACCATCTTTCAGGTAATTGTGTTGTCGTTCCTGCAACAATTTTATGAAGAATAATCCATCAGAGGACTAACAGATCGAGAATATGGAAAACTATTTTACCCTAAGGCAGATCAATACGAAATCTCATCATAGACTCTTCCAGCATGTAAAAACAGTAAGATTGACAAGAAAAGAAAAACACCTGCTCTGCCTTCAGCCACAAGCGTGTCAATCTTCCAAGATTCTTTCTACAGACTGTCTTATCAACAGTAGCACCTCTTCTGATACGTTCACGGTTGTAGTGAGCAACATTTGTCCACCAATCAGCCTTAGCTTTGACATATCGGAGGATCATATTTTCAATTGGCACAGGGAGCCCAGGAACCTTCCACGGGATATTAGCTTTCCAACACCGCCATGCCTCGCTCAGGTGCTGCAATATTGTTCGCGCTTTATTTTGCTTGATACCCTCTGCACAATAATAGACAGTATCAAGCAAAAAGGGAATAAAGAAAGGTAATCACATTGTATTCCCAAACCAAAAACAAGGACAAAGAATGACAACCTGGCATGGCGTCAAGGACATCATGCATGACAGCAGCTCGAAGCTCCAAGTCAAAATGGCTTTCGACTCTCTGTTTTGTGACTGTTTTGGCCACTCCTTTTGAATGACGCCCCTCAAATTGGCGCGCAAGAAGATTCCCTAACCAACGTTCTAGAAGGGGAACTATACCGCGAAGGAAGAACAACCACACTCTCCACATCGGAGCCCAGAACCCACACCCTGGTCCTTTACCCACAGGACCAGTATTAAACCGGTAATAGATCAAGTGCTTTAAATCTTTGCACATCCGGATCTGTCTCATCAGCCTGTACTTGTAACGATACATACCCGTCAACTGACCAACATGGGAAAAAATGTATTGCAAACCATCAGCCAATTGGAAGGCATCAACATTACCAAGCCTGAATTGGACGTTTGCATCAACTACAAGTTTTGTCAATCGGAGGATCTCACGGCACAGATGGAAGGCATTCCCAAAACGCGACTTTTTACGCTCTTTGGTGGTCAAAGTTTTCACAGGCTTTAAATTAAAGTTATAATCAAGATGAAGGTAGTTCAAATTTTTCCTGTGAATCAATAGGTTCAGCATGTTGTATCCTTGCCGGCAGACTTGCAGACCAGCTTCAACCCAATCCAGTTCTGTACTTTGGAAGAACTTTGTTGCTGCAAGAGAGCGGAACAAATGCTTCTTCTTCTGTGCTTTAGGTGGTCTGTGGTGCAGCTGGTTCAGCACATAACATTTTAAAAGTTTCTGATAACTGACCCGAACTTTAACTGGATATGCGGGAGGACTGCAGATTATGAAACAAGTTGGTGAGAATCAGGACACTAACAAGAAATGTAAAAGAAGAAACAGGAGATATAACTTACCAGTGCTCCTTAAACCATTCTGACACAAGGGGTATATCTTCTGCTCGCCGCGCCCTCCCAGACCTCATATTGAAGGGTCGAGGGGCAAACAATAATGAAATGCCAGCAGCTGTAGTATCGGTGTAAAGTTGGGTGTCTTTCAGCAAAGGTTCTACTTCTTCTGGCAACTCAAATTCATCCTCGTCATCATCATCATGAACCTTCCTTTCACGGCGTTCCTTATTAGTGCTGGTTATCGGATGAATTAACGGATCATAATAAAAGGCAGGCAGATCGGGATCCTCAGTCTTTATGTACATAACCATCGGAGAGTGATAAACACCGAGCTTTACTTTCCTGGGTCTATTATTGTACAAGTGTGGAAAAGCAATTCTGTATTCAGTACGCAGTGGGGATCGAATGATGAGCTTGTTGATGTCATTGAACTCGTTCCAGTCCTCATCCCCTTTCTCCATGTCTCGATAAAGAGGTTCAAATTTGGGGCCGCCTGCAAAAATATTCCACAGTGCATCAGAATAAGGTCAATATCTGTCGTACGATAAGGCTCAACCCATTAAAGTGAAAAGATTGGAACTGGAGCAAGGTCGGAAAATAACATACCAGGTATACACATATTTAGGGCCTTTGCTGTGAAGAACGACTGCATATCAAACAAGTAGAAATAGTTCCGATCGATCAAATCAGAAAGAAGCTGGCCTGCAAGCCTGTGAAGTGTTGCCATAATCGGAAGTGAGAGATTCCACCTCCTGTAACTCGGGCCATTGATCAGCTTTGTTTTCACGAGGGGCTTGTGGTCGTAAAACCAAGTGTACACAGCAGAATCTTCTTCTTCATCCAGCTCCAGCTGAATTGGCTCTAAAGGGTCTACATCGAGCAAGTTATCAGCATAGTCTAGGGGAGGCTCCTCATCGTCAAATGGCGGAAACCGCATTCTCTTGAAATGGCGACGGTCCCTCTTCTCTCTTCGCATCATAATCCACATAGTCCCCCACTGCAAACCAGAAAATACAAAATAAACAATCAACTACAACCATCCGAAAGCGTCTATCAGAAATGGGGAAATGCATAGACACCATGAAGTATATGACTTACCTGCGCCATGTAAATAGGTTCGGCAACCCATGGTATTTCATTCACAAATGTAATAGCTCCTGTGATGTGATACAAGACCTTAACATCGCGGACCTGGAGTAACATCAAAGCTCAGATAACGGTGCTCATTGCAGATATGACTGTATAAAAAATTCAAAACAGAAAACCAGGTGAACCGACGATGTACCTGTTCCCAGGGCATTGGCATATTCTCCAGGAGCTTGAAGACCGCATGGGGAACAAACTTAAGAGCTCCAAGGTACACACGTTTATCATGGCGATATTTTTTCGATGACATATCACCGTGATCCCTGAAGAGAACAAAGGGATCAATTTCAACCCAAATAAACCCTAAACCCCGAAATTCAAATCCATACTCATTTTGAGCGTAGGCGCAACAAGTGGATTGTCCTCGAGCAGAAGAAACAACCAAAAGAGCAAGACACTGACCTGATGATCTTCCTAACGTGCTCAGGAGGCATGTCCTCCTTCTGAGTCTCCACGAAGCCGAACTTCCTCTTGTCGCCATACCGCTTCGAATTGAGCTGCATCCATTTCCTGGCCTTCTCTTCTAGCTTTGCTTCCACCTCCTCCGGCGTGGGCTCCGCCGGTGGAATCGGGTTAGGATGCGGCGGAAGCACCGTGTATGAAGGCTGAGCAGCCGGCGGCGGCGGAACCATGGAGCCGCCGGTACCAGGAGGAGCAATAGGTTGACCGTCGTTGTTCCACATAGCTTCGGATTTCAAATCCAAACAGCGCTTGGAAAAATGCTAGGTTCAGATAGCATAAAATAGAACCAAAGATCTCAAATGGTACATAGACAAATTTGCCGGAGAACTCGTACGCCGACTAGAAGAACGGCGATTTTTCTAGGGTTTTAGAACTTCACCGACTCTTTCGGGTCGGTTCTTTCTCGTTCCTGCGACCTCCGAGAGGAAGTGTGATGTGATCTTAGTGTAGTTTTAATTTTTTTCCTTCTGCGAGTGAGAAATGATACGTTGGAAATGAGTTGTGGGGCTCGGCCCATGGAAATAGACAGGTCGGATTTCGAAACAGATAACGTGGGGGACATGTGTAAGTTAATGGGCTTTGGATATTAAAGATGGGCCGTATTATTTGTCTTCCCACAGATTTTCATGGCCCGATAGCCTGCGGTCCCATTCAATATTTTTTTTTCGGGTAACCGGTTTCTGGGCCGAGGCCCAGACTAATTCCGGAACCGAGAGTCTGCCATGTGATATGAATTATACATTCTCTTTCCAATTTGGGGTTCGAACTCGGGACGGAACAGGCGTTTTACACCCCCATTTCACCGGTTGAACTATCCAGATTTGGTGGTCTCATTCAATATATCATCAGTGCTCCGATTTGGAATTTATGAAACGATATTTAAAATTTTAAAAATATTATTCCTTTAGCGTTGGTGCTTATATGAATGATTGGAATCTAAGATAATAGTAATATTTAAGTTGTTGTAGATAAAACGTAACAACAATCATTTATCAATAACAGAAAATGTGTCGTCTATTCAATCTATGGGATATATATATATATTATCGTTCTAACTGAACACAATCCATTTTTGCTAAGATCTTTGTAATCAACACATAATGTGTGCATGCATGCCATATTAGTCTCTTGTTGTCCGGATGAGACAATATATTAATTAAAGTCTAAATATTACACGAAATTTGGAGCAAAAAATCAAATGCATGTAATCGTTGAAGCTACTTCGTTGTAGTAAATAGGAAGAACGAAGAAGAGTCCCAATGTTATCGGTACAATAATATTATTAACTAGCACATACATTTTTACGGGATAACCCTAACAAATAGGCAAAGCGAACAGAATAGCATTTTGTTTTGGGTATTTTGTAAATTTATATTTTAAAAAAGCGTTATTTTTACCATTTCCGATATTATCGCGGGACTATATTATGTGGTCGAACTGAAAATATTGAATGGTCATTACATCAATTTATGCATGGATATTTGAAACAAAGGGAAAATTCCAAACATTTAAATAAAGAATTTGAATTTTTTAATGACTCGTGGACCTTGACCGGGCAAATCGCACCTGCAAGGGTCGTGCTTCCACGTGTCACAGAGAGAGAGGGGGAGAGGAACTGTATAAAATGGTGCCCCGTTTAACGCCGGATCCAAACAAACATCTGCGTCTTCTTCTCTGCCTCGGTGCAGTGTCTCCTATTCTCAATTTCAAATCTTCTACCGAGAAGAAGATCCCTAATCACCGACTCCAAAGGATATAACTCGTCGCGCATCCATGGGAGAGGAGCGTATTCCGAGTAGGGACCGTCGTCGACGCGGCGGCCTGAGGGCATTGATAGAGCCGCGGTGCTTGTCTCCGTTTGCTCGAAGCGATGGCGGTTCAGGCGCCCGATGGAGATCGGTGTACCTGAAACTTCCTCCCCAGCGCCTCATCAAACTCTCCGTAGTCAAGCTCGACGGTTCCTTCTTCGGTATATATCTACGAATCTCCGTTTCGTCTCCTTGCATTTCCATACTATTCTGCTGGTAGTAATTAGACATTTAAGCAAGTATTCCTTAAATTTGGACATGGGGGAGCTAACTTTATGTTCATCGTTCCTATGAGTTAATCTTCTGATGATTCCCGAAGGAAAATATCGCCTGAGTTGCACCGTAACCGAGGAATGCCCATTGGATTTCATAGTTTTCTGTTGTTGAATTGATTTTTAGCGGTTTCAAAAGAATATTGAAGGGAGGAGTGAGGAGTGAGGAATATAATTTTGACATTACCAAAAAATAACCGGTTGAATTTGTTGTCAAAAATTCGAAGTAAAATTTTCCGTCTATGATTACTGGCTGTTCGGAAGCATTCTCTCACAACTCAGGGAAGAACTGAGAATACATGTATCATAGTGATGTGAGTTCGGGTGTTGAAACAGATGTTCACATTGCAAAGGATTGCACAGTGGAAGAGTTGAAGCGAGCCGTGGAGGAGGTCTTCACCATGTCTCCCCGGCAAGGTCAAGACATGATTTCATGGTACATAAAGCCTCTGTTTCCTGGAGAACGCAGAGCATTTTGAAATTTGAAATTCAGGGTTCTTCATCTTTCTGCAAACTCTTCAGATCTCTGTTTGACTTCCATAGGTCGCATGTATGGGGACACTTTTGCTTGTGTTATCAAGGACAGAAACTAATCACTGACAAAGCAAGCATCCGGAATTTAGGGATCAATGACGGTGATCAGGTTTGTTAAACTGATCTTCTCTATGCCTTATTAGTGATACTTTTGTTTCATATTCTCAAAATCTCAGTGTTTTGTGTTTTATGACTCTCTCTTTGTATCATTTGCAGCTGCATTTTGTAAGGCATTTGTCAATCGATCGCTCTCCTCTTCACAGAAGATCCAAGAGCCACGGTTGCAAGAATCACCTCGAGTAAGCTCCTGTTGGCCAAGCTTTTAATATAAAAAATTAACGCGACAATGACGCAAGTATGGCGTGGCAAATAGCTAATCTAGTGGATGCCTGCGCAGAGCAAGAACTGCTGTATTAGAACTGGTAGGTAGCTTGCGACTAAAGAGAACCCTCTTCTGTTAGGTCGCAAACCAACCAAAACAAGGGAGAGGATGTACCCGAGAGCAGTTATCCAGGAGCTCAAGATGAACTACCGGCAAGTGAATTCAGAATAGCTCACTTGTTTAAAGGATGGATTCCGAATTCTGGACTGTGGCCGGAGAGATGGAGTCGTCCTTCCATGTTTTCTTTAAAGCGTTTTGGAGGGAGACCCAAGATGATACAGTTCTAGTCTTATGAAGCGTAAGTCCTAACCTCTTCTTATATTAGCTTGGTTTCAGCATTCATTTCGACCGGTTTTCTTCCTGTTCCTTCGCTCGACCCGACAGTCCATGCATAATGTTTTTTTCCCCTACATGGGTCATTTACATTTTCAATGATCGGCACTGGAATATAATCTTCTTAAACTGTGTGCACTCGTTAGGAATTTATGCAAACAATATGGGGTATTAATAACACCATCTTTAACACATCCAATGTGTTAGATTCATTGCTTCTACACATATAATATTTTTATTTGTTTGCGAAAAGGACGAGTTATATAGCTGGGAATTTTCTCCCATTCGAAGAATGCGAGTTGAGTGGGCCGACGCCAACGGCCCAGTATCATTGTCTTAAATGACCAAAATGACCCTGTCACATTTTCTGTAAAGACAAAAAACCCCTCCCCGCCAAGAACAAAACCGAAAGTCCAAGAAAGTGCTGTAGAGAGCATCCAAAGAAGAAGAGCGAAGATGATGAGAGCAACGCCGGTGGGGCGCTGGTGAGCATCTCTTGATCTTATTTCTCCCTTCGCTTTTCCGACGATGATTCCCCGATGCGTTTGAACGTGCTCTGAGCCTGAATTCCAACTCTAGGGTTTGGTCGCTTCGACCTGCGTTTCTAGATTATATATATGATCCTTGTTTCGGTTTTTTACCTTTTACATGTTGAGGAGAACAACATATTATCTGTTTGAGTTCCAAGAATTTGGAATTCGAGCTTTATCTCGTATTTCATTGTCCCCCCCAGTCAGCTAACTATCGTGTAGCAGCCAACATAGTGGAGAGGGTGGCTTTGAAGAGCAAAGCACATCGGAAAGAATTTCGTGGGAGGATCTGGAAAGAGACGCTGCTACTAATGTCGGTGGTTCATCTGAGAGACTCTCAGCCATGACCCTTCTCCATCAGCATGGTTCTGCTAAAAGAGGTAATCGGGTAAATCCTTCATCACCTTCCATTTTTTTTAATCCTTAATACCATACTTACTAGTGCTTTCTTTTCCTTTTCCTTTTTTTACTGAATGAGCAGGCGAAGAGCTGTCAGGAGAGTTGTACGACATGCGGAGGCAAGAGCAGAACAGCATAGCGGCAAGGCTTGACAAAGAACTTCAATCAAGGTGGGATCTTGACGAACTTATTGAGGAACAGCTGAGTAGATACCACTCCCATTACAATCTCACAGTTCCAACATCCCTAAAAGATGTGGCGAATCTCCTGACGCCCACATGGCTGCCGCAGCATGAACGGGCTGCAATGGCGTGGCTCGGAGACTGGCGGCCCTCCTCCATTCTGGACCTCGTCCGAGTTTTGGCAACTCACCACCCCTCGTTCTCCCTGTCTGAAACGAGCAAACGCATGCTCTCACAGCTTCTCCGTGAGATACGAGTAGAGGAGGCTGTGATCGATGAGGAGTATGCGGAGATTCAGGCCACTTGTGTTCTGCACCTCCCCTTTTCGCCGCTCTGCAATGTCCGATCAAATGGGGATGCTCTGAGATCCGTGCAGGAGCTGTTTAGGAATATCCAGAGAGTCATCTCCAAGGCACAACAGCTCAGGTTTGCTTCCTGGCTCGTCTTTGAACAAATAGTGTTAAAACAGTTGATGGAGGTGGGAAGTTTTGAGATAATGGGCAGGTATAAGGTGTTGGAGCAGGTGATGAAGAAGCTGCTGAAGCAGACCGATGCAGCTGAGTTTCTGGTAGCATTTGCCAGCATTCAAGACGCAATCCACCAGTTTGGGGAGCATCAAAAACTACGGAAGCTGTTTCCAAATGTTCCCCTCAAGGGAGCACGAGGGTCCATTTCCATTTGATGAGTTAGGGCAAGCACCATTGGCAGGTTAAAAAAAACCCAACAACACTACTGTTACATTAGTGCTTTCTATGATTCGATCTTGGAAACACAATTACTATGTTTGGTTCAATTCATGCCTCTCTGCATGCTGGGTTCGAATACATCATCACGTTATATCTATGTATGTCGCAATTTCACTGTTGCCCAAATGCATTGCGGTGGATAAAGCTTCATTATGTGTACCTTTAAATTTTACGGGATTTTGTTTCTGGATATGATATTTTGATAGACCACATCCACATCCTTCATTCTAATTTGATTTACTTTATGACGTATTCCAAGTCCCAATATTAAATGTTACAACAAAAGATGGTTTAATTAGGGTATCAATCGGTCGGCTAGAGTCCGCATTTGGCCCGAAAGTTTCGGGCTCGAGTTTAGGTTAGCCCGATTTTTTTCGGGTACTATGTAGTTAAGTCTGAAGTCCAATCCTATATATATCGAGTTCGGGTCTGGACCGATCCGCATAAATCCTTTAATAAATCTTATTATTTTTTGTTAAATATCGACTTTTGGGTAGGTCCAATTAAAATCCAAAACTCAATTCGAGCCTGACCCAAAAACCCAATTTTTTAGGGCCGAAAAACTTAGACCCAAAGTCTGCTAATTTTTGGGTTGAGCCGGGTCTGCTTCGGCCCAAATTGACACCCCTAGCTTTAATGATTTCGAGTTGGAGGAGATCCATTTATTGTAATAATAATATGTCAATCAGTCTGGAAATACCGTCATGGTATGTTATTTATGAATATATATTTGGACCTATTTAGAGTTATTTATGAATATACTAGTTGGGATCATAGGTTATTTATGAATGTATATTTATAAAATTTATAGGTTATTTATGAATATACAAATTGACACTAACTAGTTGGGATCATAGGTTATTTATGAATATATATTTATAAAATTTTAGGGTTTTTTTCCAAAATAAAAGTTTATGGGTTTCATAAATTTGGGCCTATTTAGAGTAAGCCCATCGAACGTCCAAAACGAAGCAAGTCCGCTCCTTTATAGCTTCGATTTGTCATCTGACAATTCCACGGGCACTCAGAGCGCGTTGAGCGCGTGTCGCTATTTCTGCTGGATTATAGTCCGCCGATTTTTCAGGTTTTTGGAGAAATTGCTCTTTTGGATGTACCGAAGCGCGTGAGGATGATAAATTCTGATATTGTTTTTCTATGTTAAGGATCTTCATTTTCATAGCAACATTATCTACTAAAACATTTAAAAAGTATTAGCTGATCAGAAAATAAATATTTCAAAATTATTCAACATATTCTGTAATTTTTTTTAGTTTCAAAATTTAGGATTTAAAATTTAGAAACTTTATTAGTTTTTATATTTCTCTGTATATGTTTAAACAAGATTCTAAATTATTTCAAAAACTAAGCATAAAAAATACATAAATATTAAAAATATTGTATAAAAAATAAATTTAAAAACTATAATATTTTACATGATAGATAAACTGACATAAAAATTACAAAATATCAGACTACCTTAAAAAAAACGAAATACCACAAAAATATTAAACCAACAATATAAACATTATAGAAAAACGAATATATGCATATACATATTATATTAAAAAAATTGAATCTGAAAATTTATATAAAAAATGGATATAAATACCTAAATTTTTATAAAAATCTTACGTGACACCGAAACTATAAAATTTTCGATAAATATATAAAATTTTGTTAAAAAATCCTATATAAATACCTAAACTTTTTATTTTTTTCCAAATCAACCAAACGTCTCTTGATAACTTGATATCATTCAATTATGTAAAAGACTCCGACAAAAAATGATGATTTGGAGATCGAAAAACCAAATTGGCATTTATATCACATGTTGTCTTTTACATCGGTTTAATATAAAAATTGCAATTGAATCAAACTGGTTTGAAATTTATTCGGGATATACGACAGTTAAGATCACATATTCTATGGGATCTTCATCAACAACCGAAACGGCAAGCTTAGATTTACTTCCTGCAATTGTGGAAACTGCAGAACTGTATATTTTCCTTTTCTGTTTTTAGGTTACATATCAAAACTTGTATAAATTGTTTTGCACAGAGCATAAATAAAGTAAGCCGAAAACTTCTTCTTCTTCGACTCTGATTAATCCTTATCATGGTATCAGAGCACGAAACTCTAAAACACCCGAACTAAACCTCTGTTTTTTATGTCTTCTGAATCCGATATCGACCCTACCTCGATCCCTGACTCGACTGAACCATCGTCTCCGCTCTTAAACCCGACCCCGACAATGGCTACACCAACGACCGCTACCGACAACGTCGCTGTACCACGAAGAACAATCTCTCCCTATGATCTGACTCCGAACGACAACCCCGGACTTGTACTCTCACAGCCTCTGCTTCGCGGGGAAAACTACGATGAGTGGTCGATAAATATTCGACAAGCCTTGAAGTCTCGAAAGAAATTCGGGTTTGTTGACGGAACAATTCCGCAACCGATCCCGACATCCCCAGATTTCGAAGATTGGGATACCAACAACGCGCTTATCACGTCTTGGATCAAAAACACTCTCGACGTTCAACTTCGCTCAGATGTTGTTCATAGGGAGTTTGCTCAAGATCTGTGGGATTATTTGAAGCGTAGATTCGGGAAGACAAATGCTCCTCGTCTTCTCAAAATACGCACTGATCTCGCTAATTGTCGTCAACAGGGTATGACAGTGGAAGCCTATTTCGGAAAGCTCACGAAGTTGTGGGACGATTTAGCGAATTTCCGATCCCTGAAGCTTTGCAAATGCAATCAGTGCACTTGTAACATCGGAACCACTCTTGAGAAGGAACGAAACGAGGATAGGCTGTATGAATTCCTCGTGGGTCTGGACGAATCGAGATATGCTGTCGTCCGCTCAAATCTGTTGTCTCGCTCACCACTACCGAGTCTTGAAGAAGCATACAATATTGTATCACAGGATGAAGCTGCGAAACATATCGTGCAGACCCAAGTCGATACCTCAGATGCTGCTGTTTTCTCTGTTCGCACCAATCTTAAGCTTCGTCCGAAACTGGAAGAGAAACAAGAATCTGTCGTCCCCTGTTCTCATTGTAACAGAACAGGACATGTAGCTGAAAATTGTTTTCAGCGTATCGGCTATCCCGACTGGTGGGGGGATAGGCCGCGATCTCGCCCAGGAGTTAACCGCAACAGAGGGAACTCTCAGCCTGATCGTTCTCGTCTCCCAGCTACACGAGCCAATGCTGCCCAGATTGTACCGATATCAGCTCCTGTTCCACCCGACACCCAGCTTTCCAGCGGAATTTCCCAGGAACAATGGCACAGTTTAATGGCGTTGTTAGCCTCGACTAAGGTTAACGATAACCATGATTCATCGGGTAAGTTCTCTCTCTCGCCTTGGATCATAGACTCGGGATGTTCTCAACATATGACGGGGGACATCTCCTCGTTGACTGCTGTATCTTCTATTCATCCTTGTTCCGTTCTTCTTCCTGATGGACGCACAGTGGTATCCGAAAAATCTGGTTCGGCTATCTTGAGCTCAAATCTCCGTTTGTCGAATGTCCTGCTTGTGCCAGGCCTTCATTGTCAGCTGATCTCAGTGTGCCAATTGATGACAGATACTGATTGTTTTGTTGCATTTGCTCCATCACTCTGTGTTATTCAGGACCGGATTTCCAAGACGCCGATTGGCGTGGGTGAGCAACGGGCCGGTCTTTACTATTTTAATGGAACAGCAATTTTGGCAGCGGCAAAGAAAATCGATTCTTGTTCCTCGGCATTATGGCATCAGCGGATGGGTCATCCTTCTTCTAAGTCGATGTTGAAAATTGCTGGTCTTGGTTTATCTGCTGTTTCTTGTTATGATTCTACCCTTTGTGACATTTGTTTGCGCGCAAAGCAAGTTCGCCAACCATTTTCCGTAAGCAGTAATAAAAGCTCGGTTATTTTTGAACTCGTCCACTGTGATATATGGGGGCCTTATCGTTCTTCCTCTATCTCGGGTGCAAAGTATTTTTTAACCGTGGTTGACGATTTTTCCAGAGGGACGTGGATTTATCTGTTGCAAGGGAAATATGAAACGCAGAATAAACTTCGCGCCTTTGTAGCACATGTTGAAAGACAATATAACACTAAAGTTAAGAAAATCCGGTCTGACAATGGCGCCGAATTCATCAGCCTCCGACCCTATTTTTCGCAAAAAGGAATTCTGCACGAAACATCATGCGTCGGGACACCGCAGCAGAATGGACGCGTAGAACGGAAACACCGTCACATACTTAACGTGGCAAGAGCTTTAATGTTTCAAGCTCGGCTTCCTATTGAATTCTGGACTGAAAGTATTTTAACGGCTGGTTATTTGATCAATCGTACGCCATCCTCGGTTCTTGGTGGACGAACTCCTTACGAGATCCTCCATAATCAGATTCCAAGCTACGATCATTTGCGGGTTTTCGGGAGTTTGTGTTATGCGCATAATCAGAATCGAGCGGGAGATAAATTCGCTCCGCGTAGTTTCCGTTGCATATTTGTTGGTTATCCGAATGGCCAAAAGGGATGGAGATTGTATAATCTGGAAACTAAGACATTTTTTGTTTCTCGGGATGTAATTTTCTCAGAAAATTCATTCCCATTTTCTGATCTGGAGACAACCTCTTCTTCACCAATGTCTCCTCTGGTTTTCTGGGATGAAGATGATGACGCTGTTCATCTTCCACAACACCACCATGAACCGAATGTTCAAGCACCAGACCCTGCTGTCGAGCTCCTGACAGTTCTCCCGCAATCTCCCTCTACAGATCGAGAGCCACCGACCCCTGCAGTTTCCTCGCCTGAAAGTTCATCGCACACGGCAGTTCCATCTGCGATAACGACAACCGCCCCTCCATCTTCGGTATCTGACACTGCGCCGTCGCAGCTGGGTCGCGGCCATCGTCAACGATTCACAAATGTTCATCTCAAAGATTTTGTCACAAACTCTGTATCAGTGCCGACATCAGCTAAGTACCCACTTTCTGATTTTTTATCATACGACAATATCCAGCCACAACATCGCGCCTTTCTCGCTGCTATTACCACTGATACAGAACCGCGATCCTACTCAGAAGCCGCCACAGATTCTCGCTGGCAACAGGCCATGACAGCAGAACTAGATGCTTTGGTCCGAAATCAGACTTGGACTCTTGAAACTTTGCCGCCACACAAGAAAGCGATAGGATGTAAATGGGTTTTCCGAAACAAATACAAATCTGATGGAAGCATCGAACGTCACAAAGCTCGTCTCGTGATTCTTGGCAATCGTCAAACGGAAGGAGTGGACTACGATGAGACGTTTGCTCCGGTCGCGAAGATGGTTACTGTCCGCACATTTCTTGCGGTATCCGCGGCAAAGCATTGGGATGTCCATCAGATGGATGTGCACAATGCGTTCCTTCACGGAGATCTTGATGACGAAGTGTATATGAAACCACCCCCGGGTTATTCTACGACTGATCCAACCAAAGTCTGCCGTCTTCGGAAATCTCTTTACGGGCTGAAGCAGGCTCCTCGTTGCTGGTTCGCTAAGCTCACCGATGCTCTCACTAAGTATGGTTTCGAACAGACACAATCTGATCATTCCTTGTTTGTGTTTGACAAAGGCGGAATTCGTCTACACGTTCTAATCTATGTGGATGATCTTCTCATCACCGGCAGCTCGGTTCAAGCTATTGATACTTTCAAATCTTATCTCGGAAGTTGCTTCCATATGAAGGATTTGGGCAGACTAAAATACTTTCTCGGAATTGAGGTGGCACGAAATTCCTCGGGTATTTCTCTATCCCAACGAAAGTATACTTTGGATCTGATTGCAGATATGGGGCTGCTCGCAGCAAAACCAGCTCACTTCCCACTCGAACAGCATCATCGTCTCGCTGTTTCCGAGAGTGCACTGCTTCCCGATCCCGAACCATACCGTCGTTTAATCGGGAAACTGCTTTATCTCCTCGCCACGAGACCCGATATCACATATGCCGTTCACCTTCTGTCTCAGTTTATGCAATCGCCTCGCCACGATCATTGGCTCGCAGCTACTCGTATTGTCCGTTATCTGAAACTCAACCCGGGACAGGGGATTTTATTACGCGCTGATTCAGACCTCCGCCTCTACAGCTGGTGTGACTCGGACTGGGCCGGGTGCCCGAGTTCTCGCCGTTCTCTATCTGGGTATATTATCCAGCTCGGGAGCTCCCCCATTTCCTGGCGCTCCAAGAAACAGAGCACAGTCTCGCTATCCTCGGCAGAAGCAGAGTACCGTTCGATGGCAGTAACAACCTGCGAGTTAATTTGGATCAAAGCTTTGCTTCGATCTCTCGGAATAAATCACCCTGACTCTATTGTTATGCACTGCGACAGTCAAGCTGCGTTGCACATCGCATCAAACGATGTTTTCCACGACCGGACAAAACACATCGAGGTCTCCTGCCATTTTCTGCGACTTCATTTCAAATCTGGATTGATTTGTCCTCGTCATGTCTCTACAACGAATCAGCTTGCTGACGTGTTTACGAAAGCACTTGGCCGGAAGGAGTTCCATACGTTTCTTACCAAGTTGGGCACACAAAATCTGTATGCTCCAACTTGAGGGGGGGTATTCGGGATATACGACAGTTAAGATCACATATTCTATGGGATCTTCATCAACAACCGAAACGGCAAGCTTAGATTTACTTCCTGCAATTGTGGAAACTGCAGAACTGTATATTTTCCTTTTCTGTTTTTAGGTTACATATCAAAACTTGTATAAATTGTTTTGCACAGAGCATAAATAAAGTAAGCCGAAAACTTCTTCTTCTTCGACTCTGATTAATCCTTATCAAAATTAATAAAACTATTAGAAACCCTAAAGTATTATAATCCCCAAATAAAAAAATGCCTTGAAATAGAAAAAAAATCATGATCTCTCTTTGTCTTGTACCAAAATTTTGAATGACGGAGCACACGGATAATTTTTTTTTTTTAAAAAAATGTTTTGCCGCCGTATCTCTTTGTATAGGCAAGGGTACACTTGTGAGTAGAGATGGGCATAATATCGGAAAAAACCGATCCGATCCGTTATTCGATTCATATCCGAACCGAAAATTCGGATATCCGGAGTTCACGGATCGAATACGGATATTAGTTTCAAAATATTTGTCGGATACGGATCGGATACGGATATCACAATAAAAATATCCGGTATATCCGATCCGATCTGTACTTTTTAGTAATTTTAATAATATATGGTTAGTTTTGTAATTATTTTATAAGTAGGGGTAACTTTATAAAAAATAAAACTTATGTTAGGGTTTTTTCTCACGATTCCAACACTCCGTGAGTTCTTCTGCCGCCTTCCACCCCTTCTCTCTCTCTCTCTCTCAATACCATAGCTCTCCAATCTCCGCCAGCTCTCTCTTCTTCTCCATCATTTTTCCTATTGCACATCTATAGATCTAAAGGTACAATCTCTACTAATCTTTGATTCGTCGAATTATTTTTTTTTTCAATATTTTCTCTTTTTTATTGGATTATCAACTATAATTTCTACCGATTTGTTGCACACAAAGATTTGATCGAAAAGGGTTTTGTTCGAAACATTTTTTTTGTTGTTGTAGATAGCGATTTCTTCTGATGGATCTGTGTTATGATTTTGTGATAGAGAGAGTTGGTGTATTTTTTTGGATATTGAAAAATCTAACAAAATCTTACGAAAGATAGACATTTTCCACAACAGTGTATATGGCAACGTGTTAAGTGTAGCCCACATGAAAAATCTAGCAGTCCACTTACATGACAGATTAATTATTTTGTCTACATTTTTTTTAGCTTTGATTACAAATCTTAATTCTTATCTAAACTCTCAAGATATTTGATTACAAATTTTAGTCACTTAGAGGCTTTGAATTCAATTAATCTGTAGAGCAATTCGTGTAATGGTTCATGTCTTTGTTAGAATATTTTTTGTTCCCACTTGCATTTGTCCGGAGAAGAGTGAGCTTTGATTGGTCGAGTTGGGCTCTTGTGAGAACCCTTCGTTATGTCTTCAAATGACTAAAATTCTTATGAGAACCCTTCGTTATGTTGCAGGAAACTCAAAGACGCCTACTAGCAATTCAGTCCCGATTACGGAGGTGACAAAATCTGGGTCTGCCCCGGCAAGTGATTTATATTTTATGTTGGAAAGTTTTTTTTTTTACAGATTTTTCATGAATATTCAAGTTTTATGTATGGAGGTTTATGATTCTTAATCTTTTGAATTTAAACATTAAATATATTTGTATCCGATAGATTATGATTGTGTTTGTAATTGGTTTGATTTAGAATCTTTATACCATGTATTTTGAATTTGAATATCGTTTTGTATTTGATGAATTAATTATATATTTTATTTGTGTTTTAGCTTTTTTATTTTTATTTTTATTATTTTTGTTTCCGATACGGATATTTGTAAATATCCGTAATTTTTACGGATATCCGAAATTACGGATATCCGAAAATTACGGATCGGATACGGATAATAAAATATGATATTTGTACGGATCGGATACGGATACAAATATCTGAAAAATTCCGGATATCCGATCCGTGCCCAACCCTACTTGTGAGTCCCGACTCATGAGTTTGTTTCTCTTGTAAACTGAAGTGCAAGAAAATGACAGAAATTGGGAAAAAAATTATGATTTATCTATATGGTTATCCAAATGTCATTTTCACATTACAACCTTTGTATTCACAAAATATTTGATAAATCAGTTATATACCATACTAATTATTGGGATAATAGTGGATTTTTTTTACTCATTTTAGTTGCTCTTTAGTTTGGTGTTATGTAAAACTATTTTTTCTTGTCTTATTTATTCAGTTGACCTTATGTATAATTTCATTTCGATTTCTGGTATTAACATAGTCTAAATAATGTGAGGTTGTGATCAACAATACTGAGATATGCTGATGTTTGTGTTTTGTAATAATTATCTATTAAACGTTGGGTATGGATTTGTTTATTTTATGACATTCCATTTTTCATATTACATAGTCTACATGTTCGCTATTTAATATAGTAATGTCTACATGTTCGCTATTTAATACAGTAATGTAAGAGTTATTGTGAATAATTCTAAAATATCCTAGTCAATCACTAGTAATGTAAGAGTTATTGTGAATAATTCTAAAATATCCTAGTCAATCACTATCGTGAAAATCATGGTTGAAGTCAGACCGACATAAAAATATGATAGATAATCATTAGATGATTATAACGTATTGGATATGATCACTATTGTGAAAATCGTGGTTGAAGTCATACCGGTATAAAAATATGATATATAATCATTAGATGATTATAACGTATTGGATATGAATGACAAATCATTTATGATCGTTTAAAATGAGAGACGTATGAGTCGTGATAGAAGTTTCTTGCAGATTCTAATAGATCCGCTGTCTTGCATGAACTGTGATAGAGACGGATACCACTTGCGACCGTTTGATGATCCAAACAAACGAAAAATGTTAGTTTTCTATTCGTTAAATCAATTTTGCACAACTGAGTTTTTGAAACATTCTTAGCACTTGTAGGCCCATTTGTAGGATGGCCTCGAAGACCACCTATCCCACATTTGAGTGTTGCCTCTTTCTGATGGCTTCTTAAAAGGCTTTGCCCAACTCTAAAACACCCGAACCGACAGAATAATAGATACCCAAAGAAAATGCAACACAACCAAACTCACCAAGCATTAAGACATTAACCAAAGAGGGAAACCAAGATATGAAATAAAGAATTACATGTTAAAATAGATAAGAAAAGCTTCCAATACCACCGAGCTTGACAACAGCGGCGCTGAAAAAGCAAGTATAGAACTCACTTGGTGACCAAAAGAAACTCTTTTTAAGCCACAAGAACCTGAAAAAATAAAAGGGAACCGCCGTCATGATTGTCAACGGAGACCACGAAGAACACCATCAAAGGTGGAAATGAAGATGGTTATATATATATATATATATATATATATATATATGTATACATACCAATACGATAAGATCCAAATGATCCGCCAGTCTCACAATGTTCTTTCAGACTTGGAACACCCTTAACAAAACCTGCAACCACGGACCCAAAAAATATTATGAGCTTTTGATGATCCTTCCAATATCCAATAATATCCACACACCCGCTAAAATATGTGTAAACAAGCTCTTTTAAATATAAACTAAACAACGTTCATATAAAGGACATATATACATAATTGAGAAACAATAAGAAAAATCACTTTAATCAGATCTGCCACTGAAAACTATGATTCCCCGAACACACTGAGGACATACAAAAAGATTCTCAAGTGTGGTTTTGAATTGGAATCCCAAAAACTATTAAAAGAAAGCTCACGCACGCACGCACCTAAGAAATCCAGGAAGATTTGCGGCCCAGAGTGCTCTATTAAGAAGCTTGGAGAAGCACCACAGGCTCTGCACACATCTCTCTATCTACAAACCTCCTTTTTTTTATATCAACTTATTCAAATAAGACAGAGCTCTCCTTTCTCGCATGTAAAAAAAAATGCAATCACTTGCTAAAGCTCATCTCTGAGTATCTGCACAGACAAGTGAAACGAACATATAGATAGTTATTACTTGAACACACACACCCAACCAAGAGAGACCTTTTTATCTTGATAATCGCGATACCCATGCATATCACCTATAACACATGGATCATATAAATATCCAAACATATCCTCATACCTCATAGATATGATCCCAAGAAACAGTTCAAATTTCACACAATACAGGAAACCAACCATAGACATAATAATTTGAGACACCAAATCCAGGTGATTCCTACAACACTAAGATCAATTGTTGACAAAAGGAAAGA